CACACGGCTCACATGGCTGCCTTTGGTCAATCCTGAACAAAACACTGGCACATCTGCACTCGAGCAGTTGCCTTAGAACCAAGGCTTTCCTGAGGGACACTCAACAGATCGCTACCCACCGAGCAGCTGGGCTAGAGGGCAGGGCCCCAAACCAGTTTCTTAGTCAGCATGTGAAGCTGAAGAAATTCTGCACCACAGAGACCTGCCTCAAACAGGCTCTGAATACGCTTGGAATTGCCCTTTTTACCTACAGCCTCTCCTGCTCATCTCTGTCACCTTCCAATCCTCATCTCTAACACATGGCTGGGGAAGTTAACGCAAGGAACCGTGGCTTATATTCTGATTAACAAAGCCATCGGGAACAAAACAACCTCAGGCTAGAGCTGATGTAAACTGTTCCTGCTGGGAAACAAAGAATATTAGGCAGCAGTGGGACACATACCCATGGCTTGGTACCGCGGGCTGATGGTGGTGGGGTGATGGAGAACCAGAATCTCCGCTTCAAACTCCCAAGACGCTTGTGGGTTCAGGCGGGGGGACACCATCACCATGCCCTTCCGTATGGAAGAACGCTTGATCTAAAAAGAAGAGACATGAAAAAGCTTAGCTGGGAGAAAAAAAAAAAAAAGGAAAAAAAAGCCCTGCTGCTTTGCCTGAGTGCATCCAGAAGATCCCAAGGCATTTCAGATTAACTCATGCCCAGCAAAAGGCAAAGCAAGGCTTAGCAGCATGTAACAATGTTATGCATGGGTTGCAAAAATTAAGTGCAGTGGAAGTTTCTGAGGATGTTTCAGTCAGGGCACTGGGAATGCTGGATGCAGAGAGAACTGCTAACTCACTGCTTTTGTAAAAACAAAACATGCATCCTTGTTGTGCATTACCCAAACAGACGATCTTTCCAAAAGCACAATGTTCACTCACACAAAGTGATAGGCTTGAATGCATGGAGTTCGATACAGCTTTAGCTACATCATCTTAAAATCAGCTTACTTACATAAGCCTTTCACAACAAGAGAAATCACACCTAACCTTTCCTGAATTTTAAAACTCAAAACTGGTCCTAACAGTTTAAAACACATATTCTCTATGCCCAGGACACAGAGGGAGACTTTTCTTGCACCATCTCTGATTTCTTAAAGATCTCCAGTGCTACTCCTCGTTACCTTGGACCCCACTGCTATAACTTTGCATCTGCCAGGGACCTAGGGAGGTTCTTTGTGATCTCATTGTGCTGTGAAAGGAGGCAGCTGAGGTTAGCAGAAGCAGCTTGGTTGCAGCTGAGCCCTTGAGAGCATTCTGAAATTGGGAGCGTAGCTCCTGTTCCGGGGGACTAGGGCAGAACATCTCACCTTTTTCAGAGCAAAGGAGGCAGTCTGGCCTCCGCGCACTTCTTTGACAGGCATCCTCTTGCGGTGGATGGATTTGACAGCAATAGGCAGGAAGTTGCCCAGGGGATCTGGCCCAAGCAGCAGGGTGTCGTTTAGCTTGATTAGGCCTCTTAGTGTTGTCCCAGACACAACTGTTCCTACGCCCTATGCCAGAAAAAAACATCAGTAATGGAGTTAGTCACCATGCTAACGAAGAGCTCGAGAACTTCTTTTCTAGGCAAGATGCTCTCTTCAACCAAAAACACAGAATGGAAAAATCTTCTAACCCCAGAGCTCTTACCGGGACAGAGTAAGTATCATCTATCTGGAATTCTGCTGGCTCTTCTTCTCTGTAACTGGTCCGTGGAGACAAGAGATTAAGAAACATCTTCAACAAATCCAGGTTCTCCCCAGTGACATTTGAAATCTGGAAAATCGGGCACATCCTGCAGAGGAAAATGGATGACAAAATGAATTAGTTGACCTCCTTGCCTGAGATTCCAAGTGCAGGGAGACATCCAAAATCTTGGATTGAATTCAATACACAGTGCTAGAAAGGGAGAACCTGGCAAGCAAAGTCAGGTGCAAATCATCACATGTTTGAAACCCTGCAACATTGCCTCTATCTTCCTAATAACATTTAGAAAAAAAAAGCCATAAATTTCCAGGATTGAGGGAAGCTGAATACCCTGTAGCAGCTTCTCATTTTTGTCTCAAACAGGGGACCATGAGCAGGTCGGCCTCAGAATCAACACATTCTTATGCAATCAGAGGGCAAATACCACCTTAACACAGCTAGATGTTGGGACTCTTTTTCCATATCTTCTCACCCAGTCTCCAAGTAGGACAGAAAGACAAACGACTCTCCACTACTCCCATTACCTCTCTGAGCTGAAGTTGGAGGCTGTTACAATGACATCATCCTTGCTCTGAACCAGGACGGGAATCTTCCTGCACCCTGGGGACTTCAGCAGTCGCTGTAACAGCTTCAGGGTTTCTTAAAGGGTGAAATGAACATTGTTAGGGCAGCATCTCCCCTCTTTACAAATCGCCTTTATTGGGTTTCCCCCAGGGAGACTGGCACTCTTGTCAAAATCAGCCTGGAGAAGGTGGCTAAATGTGTGTGAGTGAGGCTGCGTGTTTGCTGCAGCCAAGGTGGGGCTTAGGAGCCATTCTCTCTCTTCATTTCCACGCCAGCTGACCTGCTGCTGAGTGACTGCACACAAACATACATATTTGCACATCTACAAGTACAATACAATGAAGCAGAAGTTTTACAGTTGTCTATTAAGCAGTTTTAAGCAGTTGCAAGATAATGCGTCTTCCTATAAAAGGAATTCTTCTATTAAATTTAATGAAAACTAGCAGCATTCAGAATTGAAATACTTGAAAACAAGTGAATTAGAACTCAGTTTTGCCCAAAGAAACCTCAAAACACTTTCCCTGACAACCAACCTGCCTTAGAAGGTTAGAGAAGCATGAAAGTGGTAAAGATCTTCAAAACAGACTAGGAAAATGCAGGAGGACCAGAACCAGAAATAACTGTCTGGGGACAAATTTGGTTCCTGACTCTGGTTTCTTCCCACTTTTTAATTTATTTTCTGTTTAAGTCTCACAGCTGACACCCAGCAGGATAATACCTAAAGCACCAACAGAAAATTAGTCTCCTGCAAAGAGCCTTGCAATAGATGAGGGGGAAAAAAAAGGCTAATAAGCACGTAAAACAGCAAATCATTTATTTTTTTTTACTATTGTCATCCAATTAGATGAATTTTGTGACCTAATGAACATCTATGGGAAATAAATGTTTTGGGTTCAGAGAAACAAACATCTAATCATACCATCTGGTCTTCACAGATACATTTGAGCCAGATCTTCTGTCTTTTTAATTTAAACAGCATATGACACTGGAGGTACTTTTCCCATAAAGAACTCTTCCCTCCTCACCCTTAGCCAAACATTCCCCTTCCTCCCTAGATACTGATCACATGGCCAGGCCTTACATTTATTTGCCAAACATCTATTATAAACATAGATATTTAGATATTATCTAAATCTAATTATCTAAAATAATATCATAGATATTATCTTTTGATCGCATGTTTCTGTCTATCTAAAACATTTAGGATTTTTACAAAACTGATGAAAGAACAGATAGCTCTGGAGCATTCGCTTTTCTGGTTCTCAAGACTACTATTGAAAACAAGCACAGCTCAAGTAACCACAATGTGTTCCCGAAGGTGTAAGAAACAGTCAGGAGAATTTCAAAGGTGAGAGTTGATCACAACCTGTGAAAACATCAAGCATAAGCAAGGGGCCCATGCTGGGGTTAGAGATATTGCTTTAATTGCTGCGAAGCAAAGCGGTCGCTGGTCCCTGCTGCTCATTGCCATTCCCAGTCTGCGTCTACTCCAGCCCTACTGCCAAAACCCAAACATGCAGCTGCTTTGAACCATGGTTTGACAAGTGCTGGACGGCTGTTTGGACAGATATGCACGTTAGCTGGCAAATCTGAGATGTGTCCAGCTGAACAACTGACAGCAGCCACCTCTTCACCTAGCTGCTCCCAGAGAACCAGTCTGGCCACAGCTTGAGATCACATTCAAACTGTGGGCAAGGAGAAAGGAAGGAGCTTCCACATGAACATCCAGAGTAACCCTCCAGGTTTGTATAACCAGAGACAAAAGCAAAACACCAAACCCAAAATTCTTTGTTGCCTGGATGAGCTTCCCACACCTGGATAATTTGTAAATGAAAACTACAAGGAAACTGTCTTGCAAAATGAGCAGGAGAGAAGGATGGATCCCTAGAAGGTATTTAGGATACAGTTGGCAAAAAAAAAAAAAAAAAAAAGGCAACAAGCCTTTCTTTTAGCAATAATTTCTCAATCCAGGTAGGGTCAACAGCACGTAAGGAGGTAGGAAACACCCTTGAAAGAGTTACATTACCTTGGAGGATGTTGGCAGGACACATGTCAATCTTGGTCACCACAACAAAGACAGGAACGTTGAGTGCTAGCGCCAGGCCCAAGTGCTCCTTGGTCATTCCAACAATCCCAGCGTTACTGCCAACCTACACCAGAAATACAGGATATGGTAAAGCAAACGTTCCTCCTGCAATGAGCTGGTTTACAGAGAAGGTTCTGTGTCAGACACTTAGTAGGCTGTGATTAGGCTACCAAAATGTCACTTGGACTATGAGTACAGACTCAGCTCTTTCCAAATGCTTTCGGACCCGTTGGTAGGAGAAGACACACAGCTAGTACAGCCTCCCTTCTCAATTTAACAAGATAATCTGGTGTTTTTTTTTTTCCCCAAGAATTATACACCTTGGATGTCAGTGTGACTGATAGTCCTGGAGCACTTCCCTCAGAGTCCTACATCCCTACAGGGCTGCTGCTCTTTACCTCGGGAAGCTGCTGCCTCCCCCTAAAGAACACAGGGACCTGACAATAGGAAAGAAGCTGAAGAAGGGTTGCAGCTGCGAAGAACCTCCTGCTGGTACTAAGCATCTCTTTTGCTACATACCATAAGCATGCAGAAGTCGGGTAAGTGGCCAGTCATGCCAAAGACTGTGGTTTTCAGGTACTTCTCATGACCAGCAAGGTCAATGAAAGTTATGACCTTGGTGGATTTCTCACAGATCTTGGTCCATTCCAAGCTGCCACCATGGCTGTCAGGCTTGTTCACCACGTTGCCCTCGCTGTCAAAGCCCAGGATGTCGTTCCCCACGCTGCTGGTGCGGCCCGATTCAATCTCATGCTTGTGCCGGAAGAGCTTCTGCCGAGCGAAGCCTCGGCCGTTGTCTAGTTCTCCATGTGTCAAGACCCCCAGCAACGTGCTCTTTCCTGCATCCACGTTTCCCACCACTGCTACCCTAGAAGGGAAAAGAAAAAGGAACATGGTAAAATCTGACATCTGAAGGAAAACACACCACTAGTGCTGCAAATAGTTAACTTTATTCTCACCGAAATTCAAGCAGAGGTTCAATTATATTAGATCTTCACAAGCATAGCAGCAATACTTTAATGGTTGTTAGTTAACAGGAGAGATCCAGGGCTCTGAATCGAGACTGTAGAAACACATCACTGATGCCCGCAACACAGAGAATAGATTCTGGGATTGCTTAGTGCTCTACACAGCATATATCTCCCCAAATTCCCAGTGTCTGCAATCAAACACAGTATGATGCTGATTCAAAAGTTTTGTCTTCCTAGAATACTACTACTTCTTCCATCTTCCTCATATTGTAATAGCATCAGATAATACAGAAGGCACTGAAATTTCAATTGCTCTCTTCCCATAAATGGCAAGGCTCACAAAACAATATACCCTTGTCCAAGGGAACCACTTTTAGGAGGATACCCACAGCAGCCTCCTTGCTGTCTCCAATGAAGGTAGCTATTACAATCATTGGCAAATGCTGGAAAAATCCATTTCATTCGAATCTGAGCAGACCCTTAGGTTGCATTATCTAAGCTGTAAGATGCCCATTAAAAGGTGACTTGAATCACCACCACCTTGGAATAGAACTGAATCATTCATGTCAAGAATTTTATTCCAGCACCACGCTTACGTGCAAACACACATACACACAGGAGTCACTGCTGGGATTTGAGCACACAAAAGATCCCACAACCATGAAGCTGTCCCTCAGACAACAACAGCCCTCAGCTAAGTACAGGCAGATCTCCACACACAGGTTGTACACAAAAGAGCAACAACAACGAAAAGATCTAATTAGCAAGGAGTGGTCAAGCTCCATTCCCTTTGTACGGTGACTGCAGTGCTCGGCCTCCAAGCAGCACTGCTGGCTCAGCAGCCCTGCCTGCTCACATGGCAAAAATGCAGCCCGGGTGCTAACTAACCCCGGCTCCACCCGGCTCCTCACCTGACCTCCAGGAAGTCGTTGTCACCCACGCGCTTCCGAACGAGGTAGTCGCGCACCTTGCCGCCGGCTTCCTGGTGTTCCCGCAGGAGGATCACGTCCGCCTCTATCTGCTCCGCCATGCTCTTCAGCGTGGCGTAGGACGCCTCCATGTCGGCCTCGCTCAGGCCATACTCAGTGCCATCTAGGAAGAGGGTGACGAAGCAAAGGGCACACAGTGAGCACCACCTTGCAGCAGCCAGCAGGGGTTTCATTTGGTCTGCGGGACACTTGCCCGCTGATCAAGACTTACGCGGACTGGAGTTGTCACAGCCACGTGCACGGATCAAGTACCCTTCACCCAAGAGAAAAAAAATAATCTCCAATTTAAGTCTTAAAATATATTGGAAAGGCACCATATTTTATATATAAAAGAATTTTCTTTACAATTATTACAAATAAAACTTAGGGTTTGGCAAGAAAGATCCACTTCTAACTTGCTTATTCACATGTAATTGAATACATTTCTGTTCAATTTTCTTCATACAGTCAGACAGAACATTCCTCCCATTGCAACAGAAGAAGAACCATTAACAAAGGAGAGCTCTGACTAAAATATCACTATAGTTAACCAGTGGCAGTTGGACCAATTTAAACAAATAGCTTATTTTATAAAACCACATCCCAAGTTCATTTTTTCTCCAAGTCTGGCCTGCACTACAGCAACTTCTGTAGCCCTGTTAAACAATGTTTTTTGCCTGTCTCGCTGCTTTCACCCTGGCACTTAAAAGAAATGCTGCCAAGTACACAGGAGGCCAGGGGAAAAAGAAAAAAAAAACAAGCCTCTGCTACCCTTCCACAGCCTTCCCTAGCAAAGAGCTGGCAGGCAGGGCAAGCTAGCAGGCAGCCTAGAGGCTTCCACACCTCCCAGCTCCTCTCCTGTGTCCCAGGTGCCAAGGACCTGCACAGATTTTGTATCAGGATCTCCAATCCGAGTTAAAAATAAAAACAGGGAAGGTGGAGAGAAACAGCACCTGGATGGCCAGAGCTATTGCTGCCTACTCATTTGCATGCACGGCTGTGTCATCAGCTGGTAGGCACCAGCTGCAGTTTGCACAACAAGCAGAGCTGTTGGGCAAAACTGGGAAGTTGCTAAGACAGTGAAGAAAACAAAAGGCATCAAGGTTGGGGTCCTGGTTTAGAGAAGGGTAATGAGAAGTAGGAGCAAGGAGAGAAGGAGCTGGAATGACAGTGGAAGCTCAGTGCTGCTGAAGGAGTGAGCCAGCCAGCAGCCTTCACTGGCCCCACAGTCTTCTAAGCTGGGTATCCACGATGATCAAAACCATGGAAATTGCTAGTGAGTGAGAAAGATTTCAGCTAGAATATCAAGATTTTCTTCCCTTTGGGGTATCTGTCCCAATAGCCTCAACCTACATGAAAGAACTGTATCTTCACCAAGTATTCAGCAGCCTGAAATGAAGTCAGATGTCTTAGTATTTTAAGAAATAAATTGTGTGCCTGTTTCTAAGCGTACATCCACAACCACCAATCAACCCCTCCTGAGACATCCTAGAAGGGAAGGACTTACTAATCCAACTAGCTACATCTCTCCTGCATATGTACTTATTCCCAATGCCAGGGAATCAGATCACACATGGGAAGCTTGCCTGGATGCAAGTGCATTGTATCTGTGATACTGGCTGCGTGACCACTGGGAATCTATTCCTGGCTTCTCTTCTCAGTGGTTGCTTTGCAAGACACCAAGAAAACCTAACAAAACAGCCCTGAGGTAATGAATCCCGCTCCCTCCATTACCCCTGCCAGCTCTGGCACTGAAGCCCGGGGTTTTGTATTCTTCCACAAGCTTCGTAAATAGTAGACTGGTCATAACAAGTTGTTATCCAATAGATATTTAACACATTTCAAACAAGCATTTTGCTTTATGATAACAATAACAAGTTTCCTTACTCAATTTGCTTTCCATTCAGAAAATAAACTTCTATTTCTAAGCAAGGCCATTTTCAATACTGTTCAACAGTATCAAATGCAAATATTTGAACTGTGAAAGAGAACGAAGAAAAGGTAACCTGCACTATACCAGAAAAATTTACAAAGGCAAGTGACTACAGTCACCCCCTAGTGAATGTGACATTGAAGGAATCATTCTTAGAAGACGAAAACCCTCCTCTGCACAGTTCAGAAAAAAAAGGAAACACTTCCAGAGAAAATCAGCAGCAGATATTTGGGATTTCTAAAGTATTTCCAAAGTATTCCCAATTACCTTCCTGTCCAGTGAAAGGAAAAAAAATATGCAGGCATAACATGACATGCCCAGACAACTTACGCCTCACTTTAAAAAAGAGTTTTTATGATTTTAAATAAAAAGTATATACAGCTCTTGCACATAAAACAGTTGCTGGCAGGGATGCAGAAAGAATCTCTCTCATATGTTCTCTTCTAGATTTTGTGGAGTTTTCCAAGTTCTTCTGGAACCTTCATCAGCAGTCCAGACAGATAAACTTGGCTTTTCTCGTAACATTACTGTTGTTTTCTAGAGGAAGCAAAACTCACCTGACCCTTGTCCAATGACGTAGATGGTCTCCCCACATCCCTCATCGATTCTCTCCGACATCTGCCGCAGCAAACTGTCGTACTGCTCTGAAGTCGGACTCACCATCACCAGCTGGAAAACAGAGATCAAATACCCAATTTGCAGATGTCAAGCAAAGAGTTTCAAAATCAGCTTCAGTTATAACGACAATCAATCAATGTGCTTTACTGAAAAAGAAGGCCTCTTTTTCAAAGATCACTTTCTGTCATTTTTTATAAATATCATCTTTGCTGACAGCTGTTTTTCTGTGACACTGCAAAAGGTTATTTGTCAAAGCTCAGTTTGTTTACGATGGAAGATTTACATCAAAACAAATAAGAATATCAAGCATCTCATTCTGAGGTAACCAATGCTTTAAAGTCACACTTAAGTGAACATCCTACATTTACTTCTGCGTAATACATGTCTCCATGCAAGGGAAGGAGGAAGGGTTTTCTTCCTCCCAAAAAATGCTTAGCTAGGGACTCAAACCAGCCTCCCTTGCAAATGGTGCTACTATTCTGCAAAGCATGACGGAACAGCAAGCAGAAGCAGGCAAGACCTCACCACGTTGCACTCCTAGAAATCTAAACCTAGAGCATCTTATAAGTGTTTCCCCTTTTCCTTTCCAAGGGGACAGAGGAGAAGGACAGAATTTGAAAATTTAAAAATTTGTTAACAAAACTTCAGGTATTTCACACCACAATGCTGACGAACGGGCATATGAAGCAGTTTGTACAAGCACAATGAGACATTTCACCAGTGAAGAACTGCAGTTTTGTAAGCCAGCAGCTGGGTCAGCTTTGACTGCAGCAACGACAACTTCCTTGGCCCTTCCCTGCAGATGCATCATGAGAAAGTGGACAGAAACATAGGAGAAAAAAAAAATGAAGACAGTGATTCCAGAAGGAGTTTTTGGCAAACAGCCTTTCTCTGCGGAGCACCACTCGTGGCAAAGGACTGTGTCAAACAGCTGAACACACTCCCTCAGGGACCTCCATGGAGTCACCGCAACGGCGGTGCGGCAGTTGCAAACTGGGGAGACCTTCATTTGGGGTCACACGGTTACTTCTCTCTGGCTACCTCTGTGACTGCAAACCTGGTGGCAACCAAGCCCCCTGGCACAGCAGCTCAATAGCTGCTGTGTTGGAGACGCGTGCTGTCACCAAAAAGGCTCTTTTGCCAGCAGCTCTAAGGGCTCCCTGCCTACTGGGAGACAATGACACACTACAACACTCAGTGAAATCCCTACTTTTGCTAGCAGCTCTTGCACACTCAGTACCTAATCAAGATAACAGAGAGATATTTCTCTCTGTTATGCACCAAGGCCAGTCTGAAATCTGTAACAATTTTTCCTAAAATACACTGTTTACAGCAAAACACAATGCTTACAGCTTCAACCTTGCCCTACATTCTCTCACTAAAGAGCTTGACTTGGTAGCACAGCCAAGACAACGCTCATTCAAGAGGAATTACCTGACTATCATAAGAGATAAAGCTCTTTTTGGAAATTATGGGTGCAATAGGACCAAAATGCCCATACCTACTGCTTAAGCAGCTTTTAAAACTAAAGTGTGCACGCATCTGGACAAAAAAAAAAGATCAAAATTGCCTTCATGTACCTACTTCAGGTGTGTGCCCTATCTAAGGCTTTGAATTACTTGACATGTCTGCAAAGCACTATGAGTGACAAGGCAGTTTGTTCTGCAATGCTACAGAGTCTCTCTTTTTGATGCTACAGAGGAGTGGGTTTTGCCTTTATTAGTGATTTTATTTTTAAGAGCATTGGATATAAATTTACTGAGAGGAAAATTAGCAAAGATTTAGAGGCCTGATCAAGGCAGGAATGAGAGCCTTCGTGTTGACATGCAGAACTTGCTTTGCCTAGTCAGCACTTTCAGGAACTCCTGGAAGCACGGGAGACAGGCTAATGCACAAGTGTTGTTCAGGGACATTGGGTCAGCTAGTAAATAAGATCTTGTATCCATAAAGATCAACAAAATAACAGAGGGGTCAATAGTGAAGAGGCACACGTGAACTTTTCTTCAAGTCTGAGCACCAACTTCATTTTTCTGAGTTGAAATGCTTCAGCAGTGTGGGGGGCAGGGTGTTGGCCAAAATACCAGGGGCATTTCAGGCGAGTAGCTCACTGCAGCCTTTCCTCATGATGGAAGGGCAGGAGGGCTGGGGGCTCTGGGAACCAGAGGGCATCCGCGCCGGCTCAGCTTGCACAGAGCAAAATCTGGCTCCAAACTGCTGTGCTCACTGCCGTGCAGGAAGGTGCTGCTGAAGCGTGTTCCTGTGGCAAACCGTTGTCTCTAAGAGCAGGAGTTCTCCAAAGCCCACCGTGAAGCCGATGAAGCTTGCGGCTGTGATGAGACTTAGTGGGGTGTCAAGAGAAGGATGTGCAGAACAAGTAGCAGCTTTCTTGGGTCACACATCCCCATGCTGGTCAGTATTCCAAAGGGCTCCTCTGCATCTCTCCAACCATTTCTGCGGTTTCCTGGATCACTGCAAGACCTTATTTACTGTTTTGAAGATCCATTTCCTCTAGCTCCCTGGACAGTGGGAGCCTGTTCTTTGCCAACTTGTTGGTCGGAGACAGGCACTCCAGCTTGACCTCTCTAGGTCCCCTCCGTGCTTGCACTATGAATTCTTGTTTTTCAGAGGTTTTCAAAGCCAACATTTTCTGCTTTTGTTCTTTCGACTTCAACAGGCATTGAGCAGTTAACAGTAGCAGCCACGTGGGTAGAGCAACCTCAGATTCCTATAGGGTAAAAAATAACAACCAGTTATTATTTCATTCTCATAATCGTAGAAGGAAAATTGTCCTAAGTTTGAGATGCCATTTCCAAAGACCCTTCCCTGCAGGTTTTTCCTATCTTTCCTCTGATTAGCTTTGGGATTGACTTAGGGAAACTCCATATACCAGAGATAGGTACAAGTCCCAGGCAGCCAGCTGCCCACGCTTGCTCCACGGGGCAGGCTGGACTGTGCCATTCGGCATCGCCCATCAGCAGGAAAGGGGCCACAGCAGTTTCTAGACACCAGTGAGACCAAGCTAAGGCTGCATCAGCCCTTCTGCAGGCAGGCCTCAAAAGAGACGGAACCCCTTCTAAAGTCTAAGGGCAAACTGAATACTACGTGGTCTGTAGCGCTGACGTTCTCTGGAATGATCTCTCCTAATAGCCTGCATGGCTGGAAGGCTATCACCGGCCTTGGGAAGTTACGGAAAAGGCAACCCCACGCCCTGCAGTATTTCAGTCTCACATCCACACCTCCTGTAATGTGAGATTTTGCTTCCTATTTCCTGCAGACATACATACCTCAAGAGCTATTCATGTTTTGCAGTCACTGGAGATCTAATGTAAGTAAAAAAGTATTTGTGCCTCACTAAAAGCTCTGCATGATATGTTTTTGATATGAAGATTGATTATTACTGCAGTGTGTTTCTACTGAAGCGCAAATAAACATCCATTAAGATCAACGTGATAATGAATTTGTGCTGATGAATGGAATTGTTTGCTTGAACAGCCAACATCGTGTATTTGATAACAGAATCCTAAAGGGTTCTTCTCTAAACTAAACTCTAAAGTGTTCTTCTCCAAAAAGAGAAGCAATCAAACCACTGGCGAGCTGAGGGGACAGAGTGGTGAAAAAAGAAGAGAGAATTAGCAGAAAAGCATGCAACAGAGTGGTAGTGGGTCAAACCAGGACAGAAGAAACAGTTGGCAAACAAAGGGCAGTGGGAATCGCTGTTTTAGGCAAAAAGTGGAGGGCAGCAATTCACCTAGGGAGAAATTATAATGGGGAGAGGAGAGAAGCAGGAAGGGGAAGGAGAGGCCAGGCTACCTATTGCATTTTCACCATAAGGGACTGTTGTTCTGAGCACAGAGCAGGAGACTAACTTGGAGAGACCGGACAGAGCTCATACTGGGAGCTCTCATTTAAGATGGGGATGCACGAGAGCTCCAGAAAAGGAGGGGGAAAAAAAAAAAGACGAAGAAGATTGCAGGTGCCTATTGCCATAAGGAACACAAACAACTTACAATAAAACAGAACTGCTTACCTGTCACCTCCACAGCACCTGCAAATTTCTGCAAGTGGAAGACTGGCTGACAACATAAGTAGCGTTTGCAGGAGAAGAGCATCTGCCTCTCTTCTTCGCCGAGTTTGGGTCAGGTTCCTGGCTGTCAGCAATCAGTGACACAGTCCTCAGCACCCTCCTGCGCCCTCTTCTGTGCTGGCTGCATCCACGATAAAGCCCAGGCTGGCACTGGCACCCTGTACCAAAATCTCATCCAGCTTATTAGGACATGAACAGGTGGCCTGGTAGTTACCACAGGTGCAATTTCTGTTCTTTACTTTCTTACAAGGCATCTTCATAACGTTTGTTTTAATACAGCACCACATTGTAAGAATATTCCAATCATCCACATGTTTCTACATCCACACACCAGGCATTCTCTCTCTTTGCTTCTCCACAAAGGAAATCCAGGACTTGGAAACAACTCCGGCTGGAAGCATGAAGAGGGGGGGCAGCAGAGAACTAGAAGGAAACACTGGCTATGCTGACTCCTAAAGCACATAATTACAAGTGCACAAAATCACGCTGTCAGGAAGCCTCAGAGCAGTACACGGCATCAGGACACTGTAAACCCTCAGCAGCAAAGGGCAAACTGGTAAAGGGACCGGTGATTGAGAGAAAACATCAGGCAGCTTGGAGACCACCAACGTCGTTTGTGGCAGGCTTTGGCACGAATGTATCACCACGACGAAGCTTTCCACAAGATGCAAGTGAAAGCTGTTCCCACGGCAATGAGACCAGCTCACAGCTCTGTCCCTCGGACCCCAGCACAGAGCTGCGTAACGCGGACAAACTTTTTCGCGCCGCCGCAGCCCGGCGCGCGAGCACAGGACGCCCTTGTCGCCGAGCCCTCGCGCGCACAAGCTACCAGCTCCGAGCCGCTTCCCAGAGGGCCAAGAAAGCCCGGG